TACCAGAAAAGGATTGAAAGTGTTGAAATCCACAAATCAGACACAAATCTCACTTTGGACAATGATCCATCTGTCCATCCTTGAGAATCCTTCATCATTAGAGTGCTCAAGAGGTAAATACATTTCTTGTCTAACCAAATGAGGAAAATTAAGGAAGCAATGGTTTTGTCCTCTCTCAACCATTTTGTCCTTGACCCTGGGGCCAGGATCCTTACAGGCAATAAATGAGAAGGAGGAAACAGGCCCAAAGTGATACTTATGCATTTCTCTTTCTCTCGTTCATGTGCAGTATCTTGGCCCCACTTAAAGGGAGAGGTGGAGGAAAATGTACAAGGATAAGATCACTGAGTTTAGAATAGAAAGGGGTCACACGAGACGATCTAGAGAAGCAACAAGGCTCAGTGGAATAGATTGCCTCTGGGTTTCAGATCCCAGCTCTAACCGTGTGATGTCAGGTAAGTCATTTAACCTCTGTTCCTCAGTTATCTCATCCACTGCAAATGGAGATGATGATAATACCTTTCTCACAGTGTATCTGTGAGGATTAAGAAATATGCAAGTGTTTTTAGTTATTATTATTGTCACAGAAGGCAGCCCTAGGGCCCTGGGCTGTATTGATTCATGTTCTCATTTCTGGAAGTTTGTGACACGTCTCTGATCTATGTAAGGAAGTGTTCTAAAATAGGCATAGCATTTAAATTTCACAGAAAGCTTTCTTGAATTGGTGCTAGAGTTTGTAAGTCTATGATAACTATTCCCCCAACCAAAAGAGGGGCCCAGCTTCTCATCCAGCTGGGGACATCTCCTCTAAGTAAATTACATTCACTTTCCTATCCCCTTTTGCCTATTCCTTGTCCTCTGTTATTCATTCCTCTGTGGGTCTTCTCAGTATTTGGCTACCAGGTATCAGTAGAATAATCCAAACCCATCCCATTCTCCTCTGTCCCAAACACCTGGCCTGGGACTGCCTAGGTTTCGAGCCCCGGAAGCCCAGCATGAAATTACAAGGTCTGGATTGGCTCCCCATCCAGGCCGCCTCTAACAAGGGGGTTAGAGCTGATGGATTCCTCTCTGTGGCTGATTATTTTTCATGGCCCTTGGCCATGTAACCTCAGACCATGATCTTGTCAGTTCTCATAAACTAACCAGGAGTAGGCTGAGTCACACACAAAGAGGAAGCCTCTGGGGGAAACGGCAGGGGCTGTGGGAGGAAGCAGAGCAGGCTGGGATTCCAAAGGCCATGAGAGACTCACCCCTCCACTCCCCCACCTCTGAGAAGCTTCGACGTTACGTGTAGGAGGAGGAGGG